ATAAAATGCAGTGTCACGGAGCCATGGACTTGAGCCAGTGTGCCCTGGGGCCAGGAAGGCTCAGCTCACTCCTGCAGGTCTCTGCAAAGCCCAGGCTCCAAAGAGGAGCACAGAGAATCTGCTGTTCTGAGAGAGACGAACACATTAATCATTCATGGATTCAGACTATTGCCCAGAAGAAAAACAGCCACTGTGCATTTACACAGTCTTTTCATCATTTCCCATCTTATATTTGATCACCTTATGTAGTGGGTCAGGAGAATTTCAGTAAATTCTCCTGACAGCAGGAGACTGAGGCATTCAGTGTAGACCTCTGCAGCTGCTAGAAGCATGGATACAGTTTTTCAAAGATCAGCTTCCTATTCTCAGCGTGTCTTTGCAGTGTTCACAGAAAGCATTCACAGATGGACAGGAGATCTTCTTGCTAGGGAAACAATTGGTAGACAAGAGCAGCATGGTTCTCTCAGCCACTTCATCCCATCACACATTTTGCAGGCTGCACAGAAGGGAGTGACCTAATGCCTTCCTGCTGCATCTTTCTCTTAGATCTTCGTATCACAAAGGAAGAAATAATAATCTAGGTAGGAAAAAATCTTCAAGATCATCAGGTCCAGCCACCAGCCTGACCTACCAAGTCCTGTCACTTAACCATGTCCCTTAGAGCCGCATACACACATCTCTTAAATACCTCCAGGGATGGCAACTCCATTACTGCCCTGAGCTGCTCACTCCAATTCTTACCATGAAGAAATTCTTCCTAATGTCCAGTCTAAACCTCCTCTGGCACAACTTGAGAACATTTCTTCGTGTCCTATCACTTGTCACCTTAGTAAAGAGACCAACACCTCCTTGCTGCAATCTCCTTTCTAACAGTACTTGATAAAAAACAGATAAATCATGGAGGAAGAGGAGAGAAGAGTAAACTTTAAAGCAAAGGCCCACTGCTATTGTGAATTTCCAAGCACTGTATGAGTCACTTACAGAGGATGTTTCTACATCCTTATGTTTTTCAGCTCAAATACTGTAATTAAACTACCTTAGTGACTGACTGCAAAAGGCTTTAATATTGCAGGAGCTAAGATTGAAGATGAATCACACTGCCTGTACACTGCAGGTGGTTCGTAAGAGAAGTCACCCAATTGCCTCTTAGGACGAGATAGTTACTAAGAGAAAAAAATAACTTTGTAATGTTTATCTAAGCAGAAGATACAACCCCAACTATTATCTGTTCTAAAAAAAAATATACTGGAAAGTCAACACTTAAAAGGGAGACAAAGAGAGGCTGCAAAGCTGTCTGACACCAGTGATTAAATCCTGAGGGTTAAAGTATGTTTCACTTCACAAAAAGAGATGAAAAACTCAGCAGTCCATCAAGGATATCTTTTAAAAACAGACCCTTTGTTGTTTATAGAAAGATTTTTCTAGAGCTGAAAGACTGAAGAATACATCATGTATGATCAAAGATATGGCCACTGACATCTAACATGCCCTAAGATGGATAAATACAAAGGTATGATGCAAAACTAGGCATTCAACTTTATCAAATATTTCTGGGTGAGGTTTTGAAGAGGGCTCCACTTCCAGGTCATCAGCAAAAAAACCATGATTTTTTAAGTACATAGTTCAGTGACCAGAGCGTTAAGATCTTTTGTTATTCTAGCCAAAGTTAACTCCAAAAACATTGCTGAGTACAGAGAACATTTAAAAATGCTGTTAGGCATTCAGAATATTTCTCTTATTTACCTTCAAGCATTTCAAGAGAAACACTGCCCCTTCCATTTTTACTAGGAACCAGACAGCAACCCAAGCAGAGAGTACGAGTTAAGTGGGGAGCAGCACGGAACTCGGGACTCAACCAGCATGAATGAGAGCTAACAAAGTCTGTGACAGGTCAGAGATGTGGGCTTTTTTCTTTCTGCTTCACCAAAGAAGCCACAGGAAAAAAACAGTCCTTGGTGTTCTAATCTCTTACCCGTGTTTTATCTCACGTAACAGTACTTAGCACTGCTCTTTCTTTTTCCTACAGAGACCTGGTATGATTAAACCAGAGCAAGAACAAGACACGTCCAAAAGAAATTCCTTTAAAAGGCAAAAATTAACCACCCTGGAAAAACAACGAGAGAGGAATGTGAGTAACACAGCATTTCCTGTGGCTTGTGTACTGTAATGACCAAGTGGCTTACTTGTCTCTACCCGTTACAAAAGGGATTCTTTGCATTTTCACGTGGTTCTGCTGTACAACCAACCACACAGTTTCTCTACTTTGTCCTAGCTATTTTGGTGCTTAGACTCTCAAATCCTTTCCCCTTTCCCCTCCCCCGGTAAGTAAATTTTCCAGGCTAAAGTTCAAAGAAAATTCCAATGTGATTATACAAACACATGCATACTGTAGATTGACATCACACAATGCTATTCTTTGTTGCTGGATTTTTTTTTGTCTTCTAATTTGCAGTAACTTCTGTATGCCTGGCTTGCTTCCCTAAAATAGTAACTTATTGCACCCTACTGAATAAGAGAGTGCTTATTTATTCCTCTGGCAGTTTGGACTTTGTAGGAAAAAAATGCCCATGATTTAATTCACAAAAATGGACTTAGGAAAGAAAAACAAGAGTAACAGATCTTATGAATCTCCCTGTTTATTAATGCATGTGATTAGTGGAGTGGAGAGAAAGCAGGTTGATACGTTTCAGTCCATCATGACTGTGAAATTGAACTGTAAATGGTACCTAGTGCAGTCAAGTGAAACAGACACCATGCAGCGAGTTAATGGAAATGTGGAGAGCTTTTCTTTTTAACAAAGTACTCGAGCAATTATCCCAGCACACCCACAGAGAAATGAGATAAAGTTAGTCCGTGCATTACAAAGGCTGTTAACTGCAAAATAAATTTACTGACAGCCATTTGGAACCTTTAGTTCATTGTTTCTTTTTCTGCACCTATTAGCTAAAAACGACAAACCACTAAAAATGAGCAGGCAGTGCTCTGTGGGGTGGGAGAGCAGCAGCCTGGGACACTTCTTGTGGGCAAACGCTAGCAGGCAGGGAACTGCTCTAGGCTGGAGGTACAACTTAACCCAGAACATAAATAGTTTGAGCAAGTAATGAACTTTGCTTCCACACTAACCTGAAGAATTGGTATGGTTCTCAGAGCAATCTGAAGTGGCCTTGTTCTGCCACTCAGACTATGCACGCCTTGAGTGCTTCCGACAACCTTGCTCCTGTTTTGCACAGCGTACCTTTGTATTGATGTTAACCATTTATAGTCATAGAAAAAATACATTTCAGTTTCCAGCCAGGTTCCTCTTTCCCATCACTTTGCTGGCTGGCTGTACCACCAAGAAGGAAGGTCACATCTGAGGTGTTAGCTGCTCTAGAAACAAATGAATGGCAAGTACCACCTGCCTTACAGAACCTGACCTCTCCTGTGTATTTAACACATCTCCTTCCTCCAGCTCCACTTGCTCACTCAGTGCAATGATTTCAGCAAATCCACTGGTAAAAACTGGTCCTTTGCTGCAGGACTCAGACCGTGTGTATGGTCAGCCAGAAAGAATGTGTGCAGTACCAGTGTCTCACCAACTGTCCGAGGGGAGCTGTGCTGGGATAAACCCAGAGAAGGAGCTGATAGATGGATGATGATAAAAATGTTTTGAAAAAGCAAGCAATTTAAATATCAGTTTCTGTTTTATTAATTTCTTTATCTGTTGTGAGAGCCGTATTTAGGCCTTTGTGATTATCTCCTCACAATCTCCTCACCATGTTACATTTTTTATCATTCTATTTTGAGAGCAACTCATATACAAGCCAGCATCAAATACTGCACATTGACCCAAAGTCAAACCACAATTTGTGTAGTACCACTCTTATTCCTTCAATGACACAATCTGTTTCTTATCTGTATTTTCAGTGCAGATGAAAGAAGGTTGCTCTCTCACCAGTTTTCCATTGGCATTGCCATTCTCCATACTGGAGCATCGCTTTGTTCAGCAGGCATGTTGCCTTCCCTAACTCTGTCTTCTGGAGGCATCACCACAGTTTGTTGCTATTTGCCTCAGCTACTCAACCTCTGAAGGCACCCCTCCCTTCATTTCAGGGAGGTAGGACTTGGAGAGCTGCATCTTTTAGCCTCACAGTTGTTATTTGTAGCTGTCAGTCAGATAACAGGAATGGAAATCTATATAACCAATGCTCTCCCCCTTCACAGACCCATCACTGTCACTCACTTCTTTTGACTTTTATTCAACATAATCACTAGTTACTTTATTTCTCCTATTTTATATAAGAATCCTGAGTGGCCATGTTTGCAATGCAGCCATAACATGCTCTCCAGCTGCTCCATAACCTTACAACAATCCCAGCAAGTAAAATCCTGATAACTCCAGGAATTACTCTGATTTCTGCCCTCCTAAGCCATCCTTACACAGATCGTTACTGCAGACAAGGGATGTTGTAACTTGCAGCAACAGCTAGACATGGAACCAGCCTGAACCCTCGGGAAGTTGCTCTTTTGTCCTGCCCAGAGCCGGTAACACACGTCTACTGACTCCTCTCTCTGCCTTGCAGCACTTCCTTTTCTTTGCATGTCTGTCAGATTCTTTCCATGTTGCTTTTTCCTTTGCTGTGCAATGTAGCAAGATGCCAGCTTTCTATTTTTTGCTCTGTGTGCACTCTGGATCTAACATTCCGCTTGAGATGCTATCAAGTAGCCAAATGTGACACATTTTCAAGGTTGGCCTCAAGGTAGCTAACCAGGGGAGTGAGCTTTTCAATCACAATCAGATACCAATCAAACAAAAATAGATGAGGGCTGACAGTGGGCTTGCATGATTATACTGCCTATTTCCAGCTGCTTCAGATCAGGATGTTTTTATCAACCAAGTCTCCAGCTCATATCACCAGTATGCAAGGGAGGCAGGAGGGGAAGTGATCATACAAAAGTGGAATACTTTGTGATTTATAGCTGAAGGTAAACAAAGACCATAGTTATCCTGATTTATTAGATGTAATTGTGCCCCTAGCATCATTGCAAGGCAAAGCAAATCCCAAAGATAAAATCAACCTGGGGGAGGAGTGGGGCCCAACAGCTGTGAGGGCATCATTTCAAGAAATGGCTTTCCTCTCTCCTCTTGCATAAACATGACATCAAAATTATTGTAAACCTGCAGCTACCCAAACAGCATTCATTGTGTTCCCGTGCATAGCACAAAGTTCACTATTGACTTCAAAGGAACAAAAAGATACAGAGAAATTTTACCTTTAATTTGCTGTGCTGATATAGATCAGGGAGATTTGTAGGCTTTGATCTTCCCTTATTTAATTAAAGTCAGATGAGGCCCAGTTGTAGCATGAAGTTTCAGTTTCAGCAGGGGACTCTATGGCCCAGCAGAGTTTTCACCCGTCTTTCATCTCCTCCGATCAAAGCTCCCCATCCTGACCCAGCTGATGTCAAATAATTCTGATTTGATCCTAGTGAAGAACAGTCTTTTTATTTGTGACTGGGACTTCCTGTGAATATCACAAAGGCATCTCACATGGAGGTGATGCACTATTGCTTGCCATATCTGCTTCAAAATGCTTTTGAAAGGAAACAGACCTTAGTCACTCTGCAAGTAAGGACCAGAACCAGAGTTCTTTAAATGCAGGGAGGTTGCCATACATCTTGAATCAAGGTCTAGCATAGGCTCCAGTTTTTCGCTGAGTTTGTTGCTAATTTTTGCACCTGTAAGAAATCAAAACAATAATTTTGAGTGTAGCTGGCTCAAGGATAAGTTGTCAGATTAAGATTATTATTAAATAATTATGCAGTTTTCATAAAACCATCATTTCACCCAAATGGGTTAAAGATTATTCTAAAACTGAGTCTTCTCCAAAACATTATCTCTGCATGTTATAACGTCTTTCCTGCTTTGTCTCATTTTCATCATAGAGAAATCATGATTTCACAGTGACAAAACTGTCATAGCCCACAAAGCATCATACTTGATTACAAAACAGTATTTCCACCTTTGAAAGGAACCACCACCGAGCAAAACTCTGAATCTACAAAGGGCTCTGTAGGAGCAGCCCCCTTGTTCTGGTTGCTGATGCTCCCATAGAAGGCACCAAAATTACTGAAGTAAGAGGGTCTGGACTACCCCACATCAGTAAAGGTCTGTGTATGTGCTGCTCTGACTACAAGGATCTGGACCTGAGCTTGCCACTTCTTTCTTCCAGGGGAATGATCTCTGTGGCTCTTCAAAGAGTGTCACTGGTATGTGAATGTCACCATCTACCTTTGGCTGAAAAAACTCTGTTTTGCTATGTCTGATACAACTGTAAGAGTGCACCATGCTGATCAGGCATACCTTTTGTACAAAATGTCATGTGTGTTTATTATTAGATTAAGCTGCAGCAGGTTTAATTTTAGAACTTTTTATTCAAGTGGTACAATAAAGATTGAATGTTAGGCGTTATTAAAGATGCAGATGTGGATATATTGAATTATAAACTGAATTATAAACCTCATTAAGTGCAATGTCCTAGACAGGCTTATAAGATAAGCTACAAAGAACTTCCTTACTTCATACTAAAGTCATTAAAATATTAGAAGGTAAACCTAATCATAAAAATATTATGGTAGAATGAAACTGATACTTTAAAAACCTCATTACAAAAGACTATATTTCTTTCATGTATAATTACTTCCCTCTCAACTTAGATTGCTGGATTTGATATTAAAGGATGTGTTCTTCCTCTTTTGAATGCACAGAAAAAGCAAATACAATGGAGCCAATTTTTAGCCACAGCTTTTGGCATTTGAGTCTTCAATGGTCCTCCTCCTCCTCATTGTCACATATTCAGTTCTCATCAACACTGAAGTTATTCTCTGAAAATGATATCTAGTAATGCAGCCACCTCCACTTGCATGGATGAGTAGCTCAGACACAGCTATCACAGGAAATTTGTGAAGAGGTTTTGGAATGTCTGAGGTGGCTAAATTTAGAGAAGAGACCAACAACACAGCACAGCAGAGATTGATGGAAAAAACAAAGGCACATTAAGAATTCTCAGAACTCCTCATGAACTCCTTTAACATCGGTCAATTGCTTTACTCTCCTTTTTGTAGAAGAGAACTGGAACAATTTAAGAGCATTTTCCATGGGTGCATTGTGTGAACTAAATGGATTAAGTGACTGCAGTGGATTTGACTCATGAGATATCTGAATTTGCTTGTTTGCAAGACTTGGTAGATCAGGTAATGTGATTTGTCTCTCCAGATACAGAGCAGGTCTCCTTACATAAAGCTGAAAAAAAAAAATAGCAATTGAATTGATTGCAATATGTTACATTAGATTATATTTTGGGGAATCTTGTAGAAGCTGGCATTGATTTACAGCTACCTATCAACGACTCGAGGCATTAGATGCCAAAAATGGCAAACCAAAAAAGTTTGTTTTACCAATAAGTCTTTAAGAGAGGGTTAAAACAACGATTTTTTTTTTTTTTTTTTAAAGCAAGAGATTACATTCTAGTATGCTGCAGTGTGAATGCTGACTGCAGCTGTTATGAGAATCAGAAAATAAAGGATGAAGATACCTCGCTCATAATAGGAAGAGAACTGGGAAACCAGGAAAGCAAGACTTGTAGCAGAACACACAAAACTTACTGTATTTTTGTGGTAGAGAGTTACAGATTCTCTTGCTTTCTTTTAGCTGTTTTTCTGTATGACAGGCTAAGCATTTTTAGGAACATTTCTCCATAGGAGTTTTCTCTTATTCCAAAACCAAATTGTATTTATTCTTTTTTTTCTTTTTCTCTCTTTTTTTTTTTAATCAAGCGGTATAAAGCAACAGGATTTAAAGGCAAAAACATCACTGCTGTGGGTTTCTGTGAAATAGCCTGGTCGGATATTTTTATCTTCATTTCCTTGTCTTTTGCAATTTTAATTTGGGAGAATGTGTACGCTGTGAGATGTTTAGTTAAATATTTCATTGTTAGTGCATGCTGCAGGAAGCAAAAAAAAAAATGTATTCTGAAGTTCAGTTCTATATTTGTTAGTGTAAACTGGGGGGGGGGGAGGGAAATCAAGGCTCCCATTGAGACTTTGGAAGAAGACAAAAAGTAATAAAAAGCACCAGCATCAATTCAGATGCTGCAGACAAAGCTGCTAAATAAGATACATAAATGGGGGAGCCGCTGCTATTGCCTTTTCTTCTGCTATGTAAACATAGTTCTGCAGACACGGATTCCTTACAAAGCTGGAAGTAATAGCAATTCTCATAACCTCTTTGAGCAAAACCAGCCATCATGATCACAACAATGTCAAAGACATGTCTTGCACAGCCTGTACTTTTTAACACATGGACAACTGCTAGATGACTCACCATGCTTTTAATTGCAGCTTTGATCAGTAAATGCTTTTTGAATTATTGAAGACTATTTCCGCTTTTCAGTTGCAAAAATCGTCAGAAAAGGATTTGAAGTTTCAGGTTAGAAGGTTCAACATTACTTTTAAAATCCCAGCTTGATTCGATAACTGTAACATGCTGCAAACACCAGGACAAAACATAAGACAGACCACTGCAGACTTATCTCCTTAGCTTTGAACATCCTATGCTGGCATTTACTATGGCATTGTCTGCCATTTCCAGGCAGGAATTTCTGTTGTTTTGGTAACTTGTCAAAGCAACACCTTATTTTCATTGCAATTGCCCTGCATCTGGCACTAATAACTCATTACTCTTTTTGGATTACCTAGAAGCCATTAATTTTTTTCCAGTGAGACATTACAGTCAATAGCTAAGGAAAGCATCACTAGACAGCTCGAGGGACAAGCTGGCTGCTTCTGCTTCTGCACACCTCTGGGCATGGTGCTGGGCACAGCCAGCCGTGGCCATGGAGGAGACATTCAGGCAGCAGAAGGCAGTGCCCAGCCTGGTCCTGTTGGGGTGGGTATCCCAGCAGTGGTGGGGAGAGGCAGGCACCTGGCTCAGAGCAAGTCAGCTAGTGACCTTTAGATGAAAGGAGCATCTCCACAGGCAGCAGTTATTTGCAATCATGTTCCCATGAGAACTGTGGAGGCCCTTGCACCTGCAGATAGCACTGCCAGCTACGCCACGTGGGCAAATCAGCAGCAACCTGCCTCATTCTCTCTGATGAGCGCACAAAAGCAGATTCCCAGCCACACTGCACTTCTTGTGAAGCAAAAGGGCAGATTTTGCTTCATGAAGGTCCTGCCCGGTTCTTGCAAAGCCCCAGTTCTGTATGATGCATCAGCAGCCAACAGAAGAAAAGGATGATCTCTCACTGGCACGCGTACTCAGCTCAGAAATCCTCATTCTGGCTCTTTTCCCTTGCATAGCCACACAAATCCCAAAGCAACTTGTCAGTGACTTTTAATTCAAGCTGAAGATTAACATGGTTGGTAGTCATAATCACCAAATGTTTTCTTGGTGATGTAAATCCCTTTCCCGATGGAAACTGAGGACCTTGCCACAGCTCAGCTTGTGAGGACAGTTCCTCTGCGCACGCTACGTGCAGAGAATGCATTTAAACATTAGCTTAATGGACTTTTAAGTCTCTCTGGTCATCAGCCCCAGAGAGGTGCATCCAGCTGGCCGTTTCTAATAGTTAATTTGTTTCACAATTGGAGAGAGATTTTTTTTTTTTTTTTCCTCTTTAGGAAGCTCTTTAGTGGGACCATTTGTCCCCTAACTAACATCAGGTCTTTCCCACTTCCATCTGGGAACCAAAACTCAGTTCCTTATTGTGCAGCTGAGTGTTTGCCAAGGGGAGTACAGAGGTAGAGCAGGAAAATTACAAATAATGTTGATAAAAGCAGTAAAAAAAATCATTTTTCTTACCCAAGTGTTCTGCCCATACAAGTCTACTATAGTACAGTCTTGCCCCTTCAACAGCACTTATTTCACTTTCTCCCACTCTTCAGCAACCCTCAAGTGTGGACACGCTTGCTCTAATCACTTTCTTTCAGGGGACGGTAGGAGCTGTAGCACTTCTAATGTTTGAGTTTAACGTGCCCAGTAAATAGAGATTTATAAGGAAATCTGGTCATCCATAACTGAGGTGTAGCAGCACAGTAGAAATTTATTTAGGTTATTTAGAAATGAAAAATGGGTCAGTCCAGTTATTAACAGAAACTATCTAGCTACCAAATGAACTTTTAGGCAGCCAAGGGCTCACTGATAAGATTTTCCACAAATCTTGCTTCTCACAATAAGACAACGTAACCAAGTGAAATTAAAATGGCCCTCTCTGAGACAGTCAGCAAAAAAAGATGGCCCAGCCTTCAATTAGTGTCATCACTAACAAGCCATGTGAAAGATAATATAACAGATCTCGGCTGATTCCCTGCCAAGTTTGCCAGACCTCACTTTGCTTTTTTGACTTTACATGCAGTATCATATTTAGCAGGACTAATGAGCCTGCATTCCTCTAATGGGCCCACCCCAGCATGTGAGGTTTTTGTTTTCTTTTGCTGATGATCTCCTTTCCTCAAGAAATCGATGTTTTGAAAAAGACAAAGAATAAGGTCTTTGTAGCATTATCACTCCAAGGTCTCTGCTCTACTCTTACTTTTAGAGCACACAAATCATTTTCGTCTAGTGATTTTAAAGGAAACGTGGGAAAACATTTCTTTCTGCAGGATTGCAAATGTTATTGCTCCCACTGCAAAGGTTCAGTGCAGCTGAATTTGTTGCTCTTAATTGGGGAAACTGATGGAAGGAAACAGAGAAAGAGAATAGAAATAAAAGGAAAACATCAGCAGAAAGCACACACTGCTTTCTAATGCAGTCTAAGTACAAGCCATCCTTTATCAGTGAGGCTTTCTCAGCATCACCTGTGAAAGCTCTACAAGAGAGACCACAGATTGTAACAAATCTCCCCCACAAGCAGAGCTAATAGCAGCTCCATATCCCGAACCCAGAGCAAATGCAGCATGAGAGATTGGGGCTGCTAAAAGCATTTATCCTTTCAGTCTCCTTCAAGTGGGACATTTCATCTAGCAAGTTTTCCAGTTCAATGTTGGTGGCATCAGGGAATGTGTTAGCAGTTCATCAGAATGCAGCCACCAAAAACATAGCAATATGCCCTCGTGGCAAAGATCAACAGCATCCTAGGCTGCATTAGGCAGCATATTGCCAGCAGGTGGAGAGAAGTGATTTTTCTCCTCTGTTCATCGCTGCTGGGACACATGTAGTATGGTGTGTGTGGTGCTGGGTTCTTCGTTATCAGAGGGACATGGACCTACAGTGCAAAAGCCATGAAGATGGAGGAGTTAGTGTATCTGTCATACAAGCAAGATGGACACTCTTCAGCCTAGAGAAGAAAAGGCTAAGGGGAATCTTATCACTGTGAGCAATTGCCTATTGACTAGGTGATATCCAGAGGAGCTTTGCAGCCTCAGCCATTCTACAGCTAGTCACATCCAGTGCAAATCACACACAGCTCTCAAACAGTCTGAGCACACCCCTATCTATGTAGCAGAAGCCTATGCTGTTGAAGAACCTGCAGAACAACCAGAAATGGGACACGGCAGGCACTGAGGCCAGCATAGCTAGATTGCTTGGAATTCGGTGAAACATTCAGCCCACACCCAATCTGACACAAGGCAATTGGGCTTCAGAGTTATTCCTGGCACTGTCCCTTCTTGGGGAGCCCAGGGGCATGTTATAAGGGTCTGACAGCCCTTGATGACATGAAGAATTTGGAATAGGATTTACAGCTTCAATCAAGTCGGCCACCCATGCTCTGCAATTTTGGCTCCTGTCCGAACTAGTAATCAACAGCAAGAGGAGAACAGCTTCACTTTGAGACATCACAACATTCAACAGAGATAACAACTGCCGAGGTTCTTTTAAAAACACTAGGCATAAACACCAGTGTTAATAAAACTCATTCTGAAAAGGCCAAGACATTAAGTGCTAAGCAGACAATGAGCTCCAATTGCAGCAATTACTGATTGACTACATAATGTACCCTAGCTTTTACTAATACTGTCCTTGTTCTTTTCTCCCCTTCCTTTGTCCGTTCTCCAACTGTTAGCTAAGACTTTTTAAGCAATGGGCAATGGACTGTGGAATGAGACTTGCACACGAGGTATTTTGTTTGCTGATGTCAGTTGCTCAACTTCCATTCTTCTGGTGATTTTTCCCCCTGGTTGATTTTATTGGGGTATTTATGGGTTTCTTCCTTCTGCCTAGATGTCTCTTCCGCAGATCCTTTAGGGAAACAATTATCTTGAGCATTTTTTATGCCTTTATAAAGTAAAATCATCCAACAGGTTCCTGTACCATCAGTAAGGCTATGCCAGCTTGCTTCACATCAAAAATAAACACCAGAAATGAAGAAAATTATGGACAATTTTTTTTTTTTTAATGAACAGTTGGAGTTTTTTAGATGTTTGTATAAAATCCTTGGGTGTGAATCTGCCTTTGGCATTGCATCTCCTTCATCAGAGAACTGGATTACATGGGAGCACTTAGCTTACAGAGACAGGATTTGAAGGATAGGGGAAATAAAAATAAATCAAGACTTGGGGAGGCTTAGTCAAGCCAGCTACAGTGCTGTTCATATTTAGTACAGCAGTGGTGCTCAACTCTACAATTAAAATCATCTAACTCACTTGCAGTAAAGGTCAAGCAGCTGCTGCCACTAGACCTAACAGATTCACTGATAGGCTTCACTTCCAGGCAAAGCTTATGAAAAAAGTACAAAGCATCAACCTTTAGCACTTCCAACAATGCATGCACCTACATAAACATTCATCTTAGCAGTAAGATTATGTATTCATTTTTAGTGAAAATATGCGCTACTAAGGCTCAAACTTCTGAAAACCATGCCATATGCACTAAATAAAATTGATATTTTAAATGAAATATGTGACACAACCACAAATAGCAATTCTTTAAGTACAGTCAAGTGTTTGTGTAGCTAACAGCAAATGAGACGTGTTCTGAAGAATGAATGGTTTTTCACTAATATGCAGAATATCTTTGCATAGTAATAACGAAAGAAAAATCAAATTATTCCAGGATCTGGTTAAGCATTGAGTAGAGTTATATGAGAATGTAAATTGGAGAGAAAAGAGCCCTATCTCTGCATTCTCAACAATCTTTTATAGGTAATGAATTGTTTTGAAAATTTAGCTAGGGAAAAAGCCTTTGAATTGCAGTCTGGCAGTCCTTCAGGGTGTTTTTAGAGGTTATCTCTGCAAGGCAGGTGGATGAGGAAAGAGACAAGCTTAACCCTATAAAAATAATTATGATATATTATTAGCATCTAATGGCAATCTAATCGAGTCTTTTCAGCAAAGACATCACTGGCTGCAATTTCTCTCTGTCATACGCATAAAGAAGCAATTCTTAATGAAGCCCACTTTCTGGTAATTCCTCAAACTCACTGAAGTTAGCAGGGAACTTTCTGTACTCAAAACTTCACATGCTTCAGCATATTTTCATGTTACTATTAATGGGAAAGCTCCACCCAGGCAGCATGAAGCAAGCTTCAGGCCCTAAGCCAGCATCAGAAACCTTTTGAGGCCACATAATAGATCATTCATGAACCTGCAATCAAGATGACTGGAATGAAATGGCATTGGAAGTATCATGGCCTTCCCTGCTTCTCCAGCTCTTGCCCCCCAGGATAAGAATAACTCTGTATAAGATTTCCTTTGCTGCATTACCATGTGTGATACAACTAAGACACCAACACTGCCACAACCATGTAGACATTGAGGTGAAAATGGTTTGGAAGCCCAAGGGAGCTGAGGAACAAGATCCAACAGATGAGAGAGAGCAGGCAAATTGCTTGTCTTTCAGAATGGGCATGGGTTACCACACCTACAAACTTGATGTGCTTGTGGATCAAGCACATCAAACATCTCCAACCCAAGCTCAAGAGAAACTGAAATCCATGGTCCTTCCAACAGTGAGAACTCAGCACTGTCAATACAAGAGCAGGATTGGTTCAGAGAGGAATAACTGGCTATGTCACCTGCATATGAAGGTCCATAATCTCTGCCACTGTGAAACATCTTTCCACGGAGTGGAATGCTGAATATTCACTTTCTCAACTGAATTAGAATAATTCAATGTCATGTACCTGCATTCTGGACTTCCTGTTTCTTTCAATCTACAGGAGTAAGTTAGACTTCTTTGTATGAAACCAGAAGATGCTATGGGGCTTCTCAGGAGAACGTTGCATACGTCATCAACAATAACAGCCACGCTTGTGCAAATGGCAGTATCTTTTGGGAAATGAGTAACACAGTGAATTAAGAGGTTGGATTTTGTGTTTTTTGTTTTTCCCTTTTGAAGAGATTTGCAGAGATGTTACACAGGAGAAAACAAACTACTGATGCATTAATATTAAAGCTAGATAATACTTTCAGGAAAAAATGAAAGGTCATCTCCATCCATGGAGACAGTCAGAACCCAACTAGACACAGTTCCTGGCAAGCTTCTCCAGCTGAGCCTGCCTAAGCCATGGGTTAGATGACCTCAAGAGACCCCTCCCATTATAAAGGACTCTGTGATAGTGAGACGCAAAGTAGCTTACCAGTACTTTTTTTTATTTAATGTTTTCAAAGTGAGAGTTTCAGTTTTTCTTCTTTGAGCAACTGAAATCTCAGATTTCCCTTCCAAATTCGACGATTCTAATTGAAGAGCGTTAAAATACATTTGAAGTTTTAAACTGATCTTTGAATTGACATTTCAGATTGGCAAGGTAAGTTACAATTTTTATAAAAGGTGGAGAGGGAAAGAGGAAAGACTAAGGCAACTTACAAAGTAACAGACCTTTCAGTTTGATACAAAAGGAAAGAGATTTGTTTTGCCAAGATACGAACAACCTGCTTTTCTTTTTGTCGGCTCAGCTCTTAAAAAACACTAATATAACTGTATTTAGAAACTGAGATAGAAAAAGAAAGTTATAATTCTCTTGATTTCTAATGTCAGTCATGTTTTAAAAAAAATAGAACCAAACCACAGGAACACTATTCCAGATATTGGGTGCTTTCAGAGTTCAGAAATACCCCTACTAAAGGAAATTCATTCCCAGTAACATGGGACCTAAGAATCCCAATCTCATATTTCAATTTGTGAAAGATAGGATGGAAACTTGATATTCCACTTATTTCTTCTGCTTAGTTTTGTCCAAACAAATTATCATATTTCAGGATCACTTCCACCTTCTTTCATCCATATGGTTATAGCAGAGCAGTTCACATGTACTATTTCCATTTCTTATCCAACCGCTTGAATAACACCTGCCTTCCTCATCAGCTTCTTAAAATAACTACCTTTGGCAGGTTAGAAAGAATCCTTCATTCTCTGATGCAAAATAGCATTCAAGTAATGAACTTCGGGCTCAGCTCAAAAATATTTGACAAGTGTTAGGTTTTAACTCATGAGATCTCCTCTTTGCATTGAAAGATCTAAACCAGGTGATCCGTGCATAATGCAATAAGCTAGAGATAGACATCACAGCATTTAGAAAACAGCTCCAGCTTTTTTGCTGTGGAAATTATTGCTGCTTAAAACATCAAGCCAAAGTAATTGTATATTTTGTTTAGAATGACAGCTGAATTTTTCATGTATTTGTTGTCTTTTGATGGCAGATAAGTGGGAAGGGAAATGTGCTCTCCGAAGGCTTTTATCAAAGAAAATCACAGTCAGAAAATTGCACCACGGAGCACAGCAATATTTCCATACTTTACTGCACTTACAGGGAGAAACTGTCTTTAAGGCTAACAAGGTATCATAAAAGAAAAGTTTCTTTTCACAGATCCTTTATTTGGCCAGAATATTTCTCCCTACAGTTGCAGGGGGTGGGAGGCCATCAAAGCAGAATTTAAAGCATTAGGCTTTTCAGTGAAGTACAGCCAGTGCTTTAACATGGGAACCCAACAAAATCACTGCTCGATCTGCAGACTGTGGTAAAACCCAGAATGGGACAGTCACTGTGGGGAGTCTATTCACCTGTGTTGCATTTAAACAAAAGGGCTCCTATCTTAAACTGAATAGGGAACAGAAAACATCTACAAAGCCCTTCTTGCTCCTTGGCATGATTCTTCCTAGTGCCCTTCCTGTGTTTTCTGTAGGGCAGATCTATCAGAAGAGCATCAGTAGAGACAGCTGAGCAACTACCTCCTCTTGGGAATATGTTTAAGATGGCTGTTTGGAGTCCTATGGAGTCCATTTGAAAGGGAAACAGCATCTCACAAGCTTGTATGTGGGAGGGAGAACAGGGGCTGAGCTCTGCCCTGGGTGCAGCAGAAGCCCTGGGATCTGCTCCTGCCATTGCACCACATACTAAAGCTACCACAGCTCTACTTGCATTCTGATAAGTGTGAGCTGTAACTTGTAGTCAGAGTTGATTCTTCTGCTGTTAGAAATTAAATTCCCAGCAAACAGACTCCTGTGGATTCACAAGAATCTTCACAGCAGCTGTAAAACCCTTTCATCTCTCTATGACTCAGTTGTGTTGCTAGTATTTCAGTTACTTGCACATTTTGTAAACAAAGCTGTTCTGAGATCCCTTAGAAGCCAGTCTCCTTCTCCAAACACAGTTAGTCCTGGCTTCACCCATCAGAACTCCCTTCCCCTTGGGAAGCATCATGCCTTGCTACTCCCCAACACACAGTGCTATGGGATCTCTGTAGGGCTGCTTCAGCTGCTACCCCGGGAGATGCAGCACAACACTTCTGAAACTCAGCACACGAGGACCAGCCCCCAGCACAGCACTGCTTGAGCTCCATGCATTATGACAATAATAAAAGCAGCTGCTCCTGAGAGAGATTTCTTCACGGCAGGGTGGTGAAAAATAGCTGAGCCTTCCCTGCCATCCAAATTTGGCAAGAGACAGCCATCCAAATTTGGCAAGAGACAGCCATCCAAATTTGGCAAGAGACAAAGTTGCACCCATTTTGTTCCAAAGTGATTTGAAATAGCAACAAAAATCCCAAATGCTGCTTCTGACCCAAAATACTCTAGTAGTAATAAAGGCATGCCCATAAGTAATTGTAAAAGGAAAGTTAACCAGAAAAAAAAAAAAAAAAAGAATACTCCTTAAAATTCTCATTTGGGTGTCCCCATCATAAGACCCTTTCAGCCTTTTTGCTGAAACTCCCTCATGGTTCAGGCATTACTTCTCATACAGATCACTACCAGTGCTATCAAAGGATGATTTGCTTTTGTGCTTCACATTATAGATTTCATCT